TTGAGAGAGACTGCAAGTGAGAAATGACCTCCTGTGGGTCCTCACTCAGCCTCGGCTGTTCCTTCCTCTCCCCAGTTGCTGCGAGTATCATAAAAGGTGCTATGAAGAGGCAAGAAGCTTGGAGACTGCAAAATTTACGAAGACGACCGCTATTACATTCCCTATTATTACGTCTGCTCTGGCAGGAAGCTCATCTGCAGGGGTAGGGTTACCTCTGGGAACTCTGGATTCTCCTTGGCCCTGGGCATGTTTTGAAGGGCATGGAAGTAACAAGGACAGTCAACATTTAGTGATCATTACTTTCATCTCATTTGAATCACCACAGCTTTATTAGGTAGATACTTAAATGTAGATGAGGATATTGATGAGGAAGATGAGGAAGACCCGGCCACTTGCCCAAGAGTACCAAGTTTAGAAGTAATGGGTTTTAGTTCTGGAAAACAGGTCTACATCATTCCAATGCTTTTGTAAAGAACATTTAAAGATTTTATATATTAGGAGGCATGCCTGTGCCACAACACAGGTGTGGAGGTCTAAGGACAACAAACAGGAGTCTGTTCTCCTTCTGCTATGTTAGTCCTGGAGCTGGAACTTGTGTTCATACTTGGCAGCGAGTACCTTTATTCCCTGAGCCATCTTGCCTGCCCAGAGTCTCTCCATTTAGCTGCTAGGTTATACTGATTCCATATTTACTAAACAACTGAAAGCTACATCAAGAGCTACAAGACAAACACTGGACTAATCGCCTACACTGGGCAAGATTTTTCATTCCCATTTACAGGTGAGGTGCAGAGGGCTGGCAATGCAGCTCAGCTGCTGGAGTGCTTGTCTAGCATGCACAGAGCCCTGGATCCATCCCCAGAACCCATACATTGAGCATGGTGGTTCACATCAGCAATCCCAGCACTTGGGAGGCAGAGGCAGGAGGATTGTCTTAAATTGTGTAATTTCAGAAGTGGGTGTTCATATTTGTCGTTCTCCTGGTTTTAGGATTAAATATCCGTGATTATTTATTTTCCTGTATAGGAATGAGTTGGCATCCCCTGTCTTCTTCAGTCACTCTCTACCATGTCCTTAGAGGCTGTGTCTCTCACTGAACAGAACGCTCACCTTTAGCTACGCTGACTGTCAAACAAGTTTTGAGGATCCATGCTCCCTACTTCCCAATAGAGTTCCAGATGCCCCAACCACACCTTGAATCTTGCATGGGTGCTGAGCATCTTAGGTCAGGCCCTCATGCTTGTATGGCAACTGCTTTGCCAACAGTGCCATCTCCCCAGCTCCACAATAAATATGTCAATAAATATGTTTTTTTGTTTTTTTAAGACAGGGTTTCTCTGTGTAACACTTCTGGCTGTCCTGGGACTCTATCTTTGAACCAGGCTGGCCTTGAATTCACTGAAATCCACCTAACTCTGCCTTCCAAGTGCTGGGATGATTTTTTTTTATTATAAATGTGTCTCAACAATTTGGCCAAACCAATATATTGAGTTTGCTTTGTCTCTCAAGCCTAAGACTACACCTACGGGAGGGCCACCAGCTTCTTTTGCCTACAAATGGCAGCGAGCAGGGTCATAGGCTCCACTCAACTCCCTTTCTTGATTCTCTGCAGATAAAAACAATGCCTGTCAGGATGCCATCTGCAACTGTGACCGCAACACTGCCATCTGCATCTTTAGGGAACTCTCCGACTCGACGTTCAAAGACTTTGGCTACAATAGCTTCTGTTAGATTTGTCGCCTCATTTACTGCACCTCTGCTGCCCCACAGGTTGTGTTCACTACACACTGTGCCTTCCAATAAAGCACCTATAGAAAGAGCTAAGCCTTGGTGATAGTTTTCTCTGTCTACCAAACATAAATAGATCCTCGGAGAACATCCTTCGCCTAGCCCTGGAAACTGAAGGTTAACAGGAAAGGCATTGTCATTAGTGGAGCACCTTGAAGAGTGGGTTGCTGTGGGACAATGGTCTTGTACTATGTAGAGATTTGTCACTTGAATTGGTTTAATAAAACGCTGACTGGCCAGTAGCCAGGCAGGAAGTATAGGCAGGGCAACCAGAATAGGAGGATTCTGGAAATAGGAAAAGCTCAGTCTACAGTTGTCACAGACAAATCAAAAGAAGGCAAAATGAGAATGCCTCACTGATAAAGGTACCACGCAATGTGGCTAACACAGACAATTATGGGTTAATGTAAGATGTAAGAATTCGTTAATAAGAAAGCCTGAGCTAGTAGGTCAACCAGTTTATAATTAATGTAGGCCTCTGTGTGTTTCTTTGGGACTGAACGACTACAGGACAGGATGGGACAGAAACCTCTGTCAATAGTGGGTGATTAGCCCAGCCATGCCTCTTATCCCAGCACTCTGGAATAGAGAGGCAGAGGCAGAGAGAGACAGGCAGATCTCTTGAGTTCAAGGACAACCAAGGATTAAAAATCAAGTTACAGGACAGCAAGGAACATTACAAAAAGAAACCCTGTCTGAAGCAAAAGAAGGAGAGGAGGAAGAAAAAGAAGAGGAGAAGAAGTTGCCAGCATGAGATACAAATGGAGTAGTGGTGGAGACACAGAAAAGGGAAAGGAGAGGGGAGAGACGAGGCAGGAAAAGGTACAGGAGAGGAGGGGATGAGAGGGGAGGTGTTGGGAGGGAAAGAAAGAGAAGCAGAGAGAAGGGAGGGGAGAGAGGAAGAAGCAGTGTCACATGGGCACTAAAGGCCACACCTTGGCCCTAAAATGTGGGACTCAAAGAGCGTCTGCTGTGTGCTCATTATGGGAAGTGATAGGAAAGCAAACTGGACTGACTGTAAAGGGCCTGAAGGCAGGATTACATCCTGGTGGGCTTCCAGTCTTCACTGTGCCTAAACACACACCACAGGGTAAATGTCCCCCTAAAGTACATGCCAGCCTTTGTGCTACAAAGAAAACATAGCACGTCTTCTCCTGTCCATTTCTCTATCACAAGACCCCGCAGGTATAGACAGGTTAGTCCCTGGTTCCCTGGTCAACCGGAATTAAGAATAAAATGTCCCATTGGTTGGTGTAGGCTACGTGGTTCTCGGTCTCTCTTTTCATTTAGTGGACAGCTGACCAGTCCTCTGCTTTTCTACCCCCAAAGCCATCCTCACTCCAGTCCCATCCAAAGTTCAGGCCTTGCCCTGCCCAAGACAGGTCTGGGGAGCAGCAGGTGCAGCTTGAGCTGTCTGCACAGACGCAGTGACCTAAGTTCAATTCACAGCACTACATGTCAGCCCATAGCCATCTAGAATGGGATATGATGCTCTCTTCTGGTGTGCAGATGTACATGCAGACAACACACCCACACACAGAAAATACATTTTTACAAAATCTATAAAGAAGAGGCTGGAAAGATGGCTCAGAGTTTAAGAGCATTGCCTGCTCTTCCAAAGGTCCTGAGTTCAATTCCCAGCAACCACATGGTGGCTCACAACCATCTGTAATGAGGTCTGGTGCCCTCTTCTGGCCTGCAGACATACACACAGACAGAATATTGTATACATAATAAATAAATAAATAAATAAATAAATAAATAAATAAATAAATAATATATAAAGGAAAATAAAACTGAGGCCCTGGGGAAGATCATCCAGAAATCTAGGTGTACTCGATAGGGACAGAGGTTAACAGAATTGAAGCCATCTCCTCTTCCATCCTATACACTAACCGTTGTGGGGGTCACTTGCTTACTGTGGGCCAGATGCTCGGCCATGTGACTTGTTCTTCAAAACCCACGGAAGTAACTATTATTCTAATTTTTATTTTTTGAGGGTCTAGTGTGCTATCCCAGGCTAGCCTCCAATGCACTACGTAGGTAAGGATGACCTCAAGCTGCTAATGCTCCTGTCCTCAGCCTGAGAGCTGGGATTGCAGGTGTGCACCACCACGCCCAGTTTATGTGCTAGGGATCTAACCTAGGGCGTTATGTTGCCAGGCAACCATTCTACCAACTGTGCTGCATCCCTAGCCAATCCTTATGTATTCAAAAATATGCCTGGAAATCACACAAAATAACTTAGGTTCATCTAATTAGTAAATAGAAAAGCAGACTGAAACCCACTTCTGTCTGTTTTTTGAGTTTCAATTCCATGCTCAACTCTATTTGTAGTAAGTAAAAATGACAAAGAAAACTTTCTGGGACGAGTGTTCTGGTGCACACCTTTAATCGCAGCACTCAGGAGGCAGAGGCAGGTGGATTTCTGTAAGTTATGGTAAGCCTGATCTTCAGAGTGAGTTCCAGGGCTTTGGCAAATACCAAGTTCTTCTTGGGGGAGATTTGTTTGTTTGTTTATGTATTTATTTTTAGAATTCCACCTCAGTATAGAATACAAAGAAAACATGTATGCCTACAAGTGAACCCTTGACTCAAAGAAAAAGGGGGGATGAGTAGGAAGGCTAGAGACATGGCTTAACAGGTATATAGAGCCCTAGCTACCTGTTCAGAGTTCATTCCCAGCACTTTCATAAACCCGCTCACGATGAACTGTGGCTCCAGCTCCAAGGATTCCATGACTCTGAGCAGCTGCACATACACTCAAGCATACACATGAACAAATTGAAAATAATAAAATAAGTCTTTAATAAATAAAACCCTGGAATGAGATCTACAACCCTGTGTGTCTTCTGAATGAATGACTGGGCAGCCCCACAGCCCAAGAGCACAGATTACCCTGTGAGCTGAGATTGCTCCCGAGGTCCGGACAGGGAAGCATGAGCTGCCTGTCCCCGACTCAGACATGGGGCTTTCCAAGGAAGAGCGTGAGTCTTCATGTGCCTCACGTTTCAGGGCACACTGATTCTTTCCACTGAGCGCAGTGATCACACAGCTGAAGAACCCACAGGGAATGAACTGTTTTCCCTTTACACACCAGGTTCAAGGCAGGCATCCCCTTCTGAGAGCAAACAGCAAGTAGAAATCCTTAGGGCACCCTAGCCTAAACACCTACTTTCTTGTATACACAAATGTACAGTCCATACACTTGGTACGCTATTTAAAATAATTTATTGTTCGGTTAATAAAATTTCATTATGCTGTTGCTCATGCTGTTAAAATATCAAGGTGCTTCAGTCAGACACAGCCATGTGGAATCAGAAGTCAGTTATAGATGCTCTTCTGGTTCTTCCCTGAATCAGTGAGGTCTCAATGGCGGCCTCCACAGACCACGCTGGCTCATGGACTTCCCAGATGTTCCTTCTTCCCGGTGGGATGAAAAGGAAGGTGGCACAGTTGTGCCGTCAAGAACAGCTGCTTCTTTAAAGTCCTTCTTAGGAGGGCAGATCTCATCTGCATGAGGACTCTGACAGCTATCTGTAAACAGGGGTGTGCACTGGTGGACTGGCCTGCAGATATTGCTTTATGCCCTGTATAGGGCACAGTCAGCCTCCATTAATTTGAATGCAAGGGAAGAAACTTTAGAGATCTGAAAAGAAATCAAACAAGATAATGTTAATGGGGAGGATAGGATGGAGCAAGTATGGAGCAGGCATGGTGGCACACACATTTAATCCCAAAACTCTGAGGGCAGAGGCAGGTGGATCAGAGGCAGCCAGGTCTACACAGGCCAGCCAGGACTACACAGAAAGACTCTGAAAACCCGCAGGGCAGTGGTGGCACATGCCTTTAATCCTAGCACTTGGGAGGCAGAGGCAGGCAGATCTCTGTGAGTTCGAGGCCAGTCTGGTCTACAAGAGCGAGTTTCAGGACAAGCTCCATAGCTACAGAGAAACCCTGCCTTGAAAACCTAAAATCAAACAAAAAAAGACTTTCAAAACCAACCAAAAAACCCAAGGCCAGTGAGATGGCTCTGTGGGTAAAGTGGGGAAAGGAGCTTTCTACCAGCCCAGAGAACATGAGCTCAATCCCCATAACCCACAAGGTAGAAGGCAAGGACTGACTCCTATACATTGTTCCCTGACCTGGACACGTGTGCCATGTTACCTGTGCATCCATACACATGCACACACATACAAAATAAAACGGTAAAGATGTCCAGCATTTACAAACAGTGGTGATGCACACCTTTAATCACAGAGGAAAGTGAATCTCTGTGAGTTCAAGGCCAGCTTGGTCTACAGTGCTAGTTCTAGGACAGCCAAGGCTACGCAAAGAAACTCTCCTTTTGTAAAAAAAAAAAGAAGCAATAAAGTACAGAAATGAATCTTAATATATTATGGTAAGTAGAGAAAACTATATGCTGGCTGGGTGTGGAAGTGCAAACCTGAAATGCGAGTACAAAGACAGCTGAGGCAGGAGGACTTCAAGTTTGAAGCTAGTTTGGACTACATATCAAGACCCTGCCACAAAAAAATTAAAAATCTACACAGTCGTTGAAAAGTCCATGAATGCATGAATGTATGTACAGATGGAAGGATGGACACACTGACAGATGTACGTATAGAAGGAGGGATAAACACACTACAAATGTATGTATAGATGGATGGACACTCTGACAGATGTATGCATAGATGAGGGATGGGCACACTGACAGATGTATGTATAGATGAGGGATGGACACACTGACAGATGTATGTATAGATGAGGGATGGACACACTGACAGATGTATGTATAGATGAGGGATGGACACACTGACAGATGTATGTATAGATGGATGGACACTCTGACAGATGTATGTATAGATGGATGGACACTCTGACAGATGTATGTATAGATGGATGGACACTCTGACAGATGTATGTATAGATGGAGGATGGACACACTACAGATGTATGTATAGATGGATGGACAAACTGACAGATGTATGTATAGATGAGGGATGGACACTCTGACAGATGTATGCATAGATGAGGGATGGGCATACAGAAAATGGTTATTTGTTCTCAGAGGTTGGTTAGTAGCCGTGTAAAGGTTATGGGAATTGGTAGAGTTCTTCCTGAAGTGATAGAAATTCTTTAATTAGATAATAACTACACCAACTTTGAAAATGTACTTTAAATTTTTTTTTTAATCTGAGCAGTGGTGGCGCACGCCTTTGTTCCCAGCAGAGCAGCCCAATCTCTGTAAGTTCGAGGCCAGCCAGGTCTACAGAGAGAGTTCCAGAATAGCTAAGGCTAAACAGAGAAGCCCTGTCTCAAAACTCACCCCCAAAAGAGGTTTATTTTTAATTACATGAGCGCTCATGTGTCTGCATGAACAGATGTCCTCAGACAAGAATAAATGTCTATATACACACATATATACATATGGCCTCAGACATGAATACATGTCTATATACATACTTATATACATATGTCCTCAGACAAGAATACATGTCTATATAATACATATATACATATGTCCTCAGAGTTCCGAAGAGGATGTTGGATTCCCCTGGAACTGGAGTTCGGGCAGCTGTGAGCCACCAGCTGGGAAATGGGCTCTAGTCCTCTGCAGAAGCAGTGCACACCGGGGACATCTTGTGTTGTGTTGTGTTTCTTAAGAAAGACAAACAAGGAGAAATAACTCACTGATGAAGAGCACTGGCTGCTCTTCCAGAGGTCCTGAGTTCAATTCCCAGCACCACATGGTGGCTCACAGCCATCTGTAAGGGCATCTGAGGCCCTCTCCTGTTCTGCAGACCTACAGGAAGACAGAGCGCTCATATACATAAATAAATACAGAAACCTCTAAAGAAAGACAAATAAACTAGACCTAAAACTGGGTGCACCCTTGGCAAGCTGGGTCAAGAGGACTGCAATAGATCCAAGGCCAGGCCGGGCTAGATAGCAAGTGTCACAACAGCCAGCGTTACACAGCAAAACTCTGTCCTTAGAAGCCAACAACACAGGGCTGAGTGATGGCTCAGCCTGCAAGAGCATTTGCTGCTCCCAAAGAGGCCCTGGCTTGGTTCCCAGCATCCATGGAGTAGATTACAACCTATAACTCCTGGGCCAGGGAATCTGATGCCCCCTTCTGGCTTCTGTGGGCACTGCATGAATATGTTGCACAAATATCCAAGCAAAACATCATACGCAAAAATTAAAAATAGGTTAAAAAAAAAACAGAACAACAGTAAAAATCCTACCTACTGTTAAAAGTAAAATTAGTTTTAATTTTAAAAAAATGGTCATATGGGGGCTGGAGAGATGGCTCAGGGTTAAGAGCATTGCCTGCTCTTCCAAAGGTCCTGAGTTCAATTTCCGGCAACCACATGGTGGCTCACAACCATCTGTAATGAGGTCTGGTGCCCTCTTCCAGCTTGCAGACATACACACAGACGGAATATTGTATACATAATAAACAAATAAGTCATATGTTAAGTCTAGAACTGTCTTTTTTGTCTGTCACCTGAGTCCTTAATCTAACAGGAAGTTGAATCTGTCATCTGGTTTTTGTTTTGTTTTTGAATTTGGAGTTAGGGTCTCATACCTGTGACCTAATCTAGCCTAGAACCCACTATGTATGGAGACTGGCCCTGATCTCTAGACCACCGTCTAATTAGACTCTTGAGGGCTGGGGTCACAAGCATGAGCCACTACACCAGGTTAGACCCTACTGTCTGAGAAGGTGTCATACCTTTAGCAGCAGGACTCAGCGGAAACTCCATTCCCAGACTCTGAGCACCAGACCTCGGTCACTGTGGATTTATTAAAGGCAACAACTCTCCGCAGCGGGAATCCAGCTTCAGGCAGGCCAAGTCATCCGACCTAGTGGGTCCAATGTTCAGAATGGCAATAGGAAGCTTCTTCTCCCGGGCGGTGAGGATGAACCGGTAACCAGAGTACACCTGCCCAGATGGAGGACAAGAGTTCGCTCTAGATCCAGGTAAAGAACCACCTCACCTCAGAAACACAGCACAACAAAGAAAGAAAAAAGGGAGAAGAGAAGCTCGGCAGGTAAAGGAGCCTGCAGCCATGCCAGATGGTGTCAGTTCAATTCCCAAAACCCATGAAACCCATGATGAAAGGTAGGTAGGGAGAACTAATCCCACAAGTTGTCGTCTGACCTACAGACAATCAACCACCAACCAGTCAATCGGTCACTCATTCTACAAGTCTACAAAGAGGTGGTGGTACTTGGGAAATGGTTCATTGGAGAAAGTTCTTGCTGCCCAAGTGTGGGAGCCTGAGATCAGATTCCCAGCATCCATGTAAACACTGGGTTTGGTGGGAATCGTGTGTAAACCTAATGTTCACAGAGGGAAACCACACGGTTCCTAGGAGCTCACTGACCAGCCAGGCCAGTCATTCCAGGGCCTCTAAGTTCAGTGAGAGACTGTCTCACAAATCATGCCAGGGATTGGAGAGATGACTCAGTGGTTAAGAGCACTTGTTGCTCTTGCAGAGGATCTGGGTTCAGTTCCCAACACCCAGGGCTGTTGAAACCATGTCTTGGGGGCTAGAGAGATGGCTCAGTGGTTAAGAGCTCATCTAAAGGTCCTGAGTTCAGCTGGGCGATGGTGGCACAAGCCTTTAATCCCAGCACTCGGGAGGCAGAGGCAGGCAGATCTCTGTGAGTTCGAGACCAGCCTGGTCTACAGAGCTAGTTCCAGGACAGGCTCCAAAGCCACAGAGAAACCCTGTCTCGAAAAAAGCCCCCCCCCAAAAAAAGGGTCCTGAGTTCAATTCTTAGCACCTACATGGTGGCTTACAACCATCTGTAATGAGATCTGGTGCCCTCTTCTGGCCTGCAATCATGAATGTAGGCAGAATACTGTATACATAATAAATAAATATGAAGAAAGAAGGGAAGGAAGAAAGACACCAAAAAAAAAAATGTCCCACAAAGTGACCTTAAAAAAAAAAAAAAGAAACCCTGTCTCAAAACAAAAACAAAAACCCTAAAGTAGGCAGTAACAGACACCCAACACTGACACGCCTGCATACACATGTGCACACTCACGCATATACACACACGCACACACTCACACACGAAGACTAAAAGGGAAGCTCAAATAAGAGCAAACCTCTAGGACTTCACACCCTATAAAACGGGCAAGGGCCTCTGCAACCCTGACAGAGCCAGGTACCTGCAGGGACGATCCGACCACCAGTAGCGAATCAGCCTCTTTCACGCGCCTGTGCACAAAGTCAACCTTGTCTGGGTTCACTGTGTCCCCAAAGAAAACGACATCTGGTTTCAGAGGACCTCCGCACCGATCACAGGACGGGACCTGAAAGCTCCGGACCTGCTCCTCAGTGAGGAACACATCGCCGTCGGGGGCCACGCCCTGCGCCTCAGCGCTCCAGCTGGGGTTCAGGACTTGGAAGCGTTCCTGCAGTACCCTGCGGGGAGTCTGTTCCCCACAGCTCAGGCACAGGACTCTAAAGGCAATATGAGACCTTCTGAGTATAGTTCCTGGGAGGGATAAAGCCCCAACCATTTTCAATCCCCCCCCAAAAAACAATCACAAGTAGGACATCCATTTTCATTTTCGTGTTCTCCTTTCCCTTCTTTGCAACCTTCTAGAACAGTGGTTCTCAACCTGTGGGCCACGAACCTTTGGGGTTCAACGACTTTTTCTTTTTTTTTTTTTTTTTTTTTTAAATATCTATTTATTTATTATGCATACAATATTCTGTCTGTGTGTATGTCTGCAGGCCAGAAGAGGGCACCAGACCTCATTACAGATGGTTGTGAGCCACCATATGGTTGCTGGGAATTGAACTCAAGACCTTTGGAAGAGCAGGCAATGCTCTTAACCACTGAGCCATCTCTCCAGCCCCCCAACGACTTTTTCACAAAGGGTCGGATATCAGATATCCTGCATAACAGATATTTATGTTATGATTCCAAACAGTGGCAAAATTATAGTTATGAAGTAGCGACAAACATAATTCTTTGACTGGGCTCATATGGCCAGCCACCGTTTTGTCCACACTCGATCACCTTGGTACTCAAACCTGTGCCCCTCGGCACTCTCGTCTGCCCCTCCGCGGTGCCTGTCACTATCACTCCCTGTGGAGACACTTTTTGAAGGGCGGTGGCACACGCCTTTAATCCCAGCACTGGTGAGGCAGAGGCAGACTGGGTCTCTGTGAGTTTGAAACCAGCCTGGTCTACAGAGTGAGTTGGTTACTCAAGACTACACAGAGAGACTCCATAAAACAAACAAATAGGAAGAAACAAGAAGTGAGCATGTTAGGGAGTTAATTCCCCAACAGTGATGCTGGACCATGGTGAGATTGGAGATGGTTTATTAACACCCTAGTTTTCTTCACTTTTGGTGAAATAATTCTCTTTTTTTCAACCCAAACTCAGGGTTAGCAATACTACTCACCACCCCCATAGTGGCTCTTTCTGTACAGTTGCGATAACTCTGAACTACAGTCTAGACTGGGGGTCCCCGGGGTGCAGCCCCACTCACGCTACAGTCTAGACTGGGGGTCCCCGGGGTGCAGCCCCACTCACGCTACAGTCTAGACTGGGGGTCCCTGGGGTGCAGCCCCACTCACGCTACAGTCTAGACTCGGGGTCCCTGGGGTGCAGCCCCACTCACGCTACAGTCTAGACTGGGGGTCCCCACGGGGTGCAGCCCCATTCACACTACAGTCTAGACTCGGAATCCCCGCGGGGTGCAGCCCCACTCAAGCTACAGTCTAGACTGGGGGTCCCCGCGGGGTGCAACCCCACTCACGCTACAGTCTAGACTGGGGGTCCCCGCGGGGTGCAGCCCCACTCACACTACAGTCTAGACTCGGGGTCCCCAGGGTGCAACCGCACTCACACTACAGTCTAGACTCGGGGTCCCCACGGAGTGCAGCCTCACTCACGCTACAGTCTAGACTGGGGGTCCCCGCGGGGTGCAGCCCCACTCACGTTACAGTCTAGACTGGGGGTCCCCACGGAGAGCAGCCCCACTCATGCTACAGTCTAGACTGGGGATCCCTGGGGTGCAGCCTCACTCACACTACAGTCTAGACTCGGGGTCCCCAGGGTGCAACCTCACTCACTCTACAGTCTAGACTCGGGGTCCCCACGGAGTGCAGCCTCACTCACGCTACAGTCTAGACTTGGGGTCCCTGGGGTGGAGCCTCACTCACACTACAGTCTAGACTCGGGGTCCCTGGGGTGCAGCCCCACTCACATTTTTCCTGGTGCTGGGAAACTGAACCCAGAGCTTTGCATGCGAGCAGCGCACCACACAAGCCAGCCTGCTCCCTTCCTCGTTTCTGTCTGTTTCCCCTCTCAGTTCTCTCGGCTATCCCCAAAGCCAATGACTTGCTCAGGAAGCCTTGGCTGTGGATCTAAGGCAGCCAACCGCCCTTTGCCTGGGGAACCACACATCCTTTTATGGGCAAACCCCGTAGACTCCGGCACCTGTGCATGCATCCATGGAGCTCTGTCAGCCGCTGGTTCCCCGCCTTGGAGTGCAGAGCATCCACATTCTGAGTCACCAACCAGTGCAGCTTCCCCAGTTTCTCCCAGTTGCTCAAGGCCCAATGTGCTGGGTTGGGTTGGTGAGAGGAGAACTGAGGCCAGCCCACAAAGTTTCTGGCCCAGTACCGCTGACGAACTGGAGCACTGCGTATGAACTCGATATGCTGGATGGGTCTCCGGTCCGTGCGGGCGTAAAGACCCACCTTTTCCGACCTGTAGTCTGGGATCCCAGACTCCGTGGAGATTCCTGCGCCAGTCATCACTAGGAGTTTCTTGGAAAGGGTAATGAAGCGCTGTAACTCCTTGATCTTCTCGGGGTCCAAAGGAGGGCTTGGCGGCACGAATAACCCAGTAGGTCCATGAGAGCACGGCCGGCTGAGGTTCGCTGTCCAATGGGCTTTTGTTGACCTGAAAGTCAATCCACTCATTCTCCTTCTAGAGAAAAAGAAATCCATGAGAGAAGCTGGGTTTTACCACCAAGCGAGGAATGGGTAAACAAAAAGCATGTCTATCCACTGCGGGTATACATTCAGCTACGAAAATTCGTCATGGTGGTCCATGCCTAGAATTGAAGCACTCCGGAGATGGAAGCAGGAAGGTTAAGGGCTTCCTCAGCTAATGAGAGAGTCAGAGGCCAGTCTAGGCTAAACTCAAAAGAGAAATCGAGAGACAGTACATGGTGGGGGGTTGTGTTAAATGTAAGAAGTCAGTTACAGGGTTGTAGAGATGGCTCAGAGCTTAAGGGCACTGGTTGTTCTTCCAAAGGTTCTGGGTTAAATTCCAGCACCCACATGGGGTCTCACAACCATCTGTCACTCTAGTTTCAGGTGATCAGACCCCGTCTTCTGGCCTCTGCAAGCACTGGGAGCAAAGGTGGTTGGTACACAAATATATGTGCAGGTAAAATACACGGAAAATTTAATTTAGCAAATTTTAAATATTTTAAAAACAAACCTTTCTTCCTTCCATGGAGCCCTGACTGTCCTGGAACTCATTCTGTAGACCAGGCTAGCCTCGAACTCACAGAGATCCATCCACCTTCTCTGCCTCCTGAGTCCTGGGATTAAAGGCGTGCAGCACCATATGGGTCTATTTATCTATATTTTTGTTAATACTGTCCATCAAGGGACTATTTGCTCTCTAACCCTGCTTTGTTTAAATCAGAATTATTACTTTTTCTTTTCTTGAGACAGGATGCCTGTAGCCCAGGCACACCCAGCTAAACCAGAGTTACCTTATTTCTCCATGAGATATTTGAATTCTAGTATGTTAGGGTTTTTTTTTTTTCTCTTTCGTTGTTGTTTGCTTTTGTTTTGTTTTTCTACATGATATCACTCATTCTATCGCCAAGCTATACTCCAGTCCAACTTGGCAGTTTTCAGGACGTTGATCTGATCTTTCAGGCGTTTGGTTTTATTCGTGTCTTCACAAATACACTTTAAATTACTTCATTTCCCTCATAATATCTGTTTAATGTGCTCTGTAAATTCTGCTAGTTGGACACAGAAGACAATGCGCGCGCGCGCACGCACGCACGCACTTGCCTGTCTGGTTTTCTAGTTTTAAAAACAAGCATTGGATACATCCTGTGAAATAATGCAGAAATTACCTAGCGACAGGCAAACATTTTAGGCTTGGCTTTCTACACATAAGGTCAGGACCCGGCTTTCTCCAGGACATTCCACAACTACACGTGAAAGCTAAACAAACAGTCGGGTTTGTTTTCCTCCGTGTCCCCTCAAGAACAAAGAGGACAAATGGGATCCCCTGTTTTAATAAAATTTAAAAAAAAATGCACAGCTGGAAACCTAATGCCGAATCGGAATACTTACTTACCTTCCGCAATTTTCACCCAATAGTAGGATTAGCTTGCTACCTACCTGTGCATCTTGGGAAGTGTATTCCGTGAAGCAGACTTAATTGGAAAGCAAACTACAAGTCCCACAATCCTGCGGGTCTCTCACTTCAAGGTCCTACCGCAGTCCTCCCCTGACTTTCGTTTGTCTTTCCTGGTCAGTTCAGTTAAGGTTCCGGGTGCGCTGCTGACACCTGGGATTATGAGTGCCTTTTGGGGGTTTTGAGTTTGGTTAATTGGTTGGTCTTTCTGTGTTACGTTGTTTTTTGAGGCAGTGTCTCTGACTCCAAATTCCTATCCTCCTGGCTCAACTTCAAAAGTGCTCGGATTATGGGCTAGTGCTACCATGCCTGGTAGAGAAATGGTTGTTTCCAAAGTCCTGTGTGCAAAATAGCATCTAAACAGCCCTACTTTAGGAATTCACCCTATTTTTTTGTTTTTTTGAGACAGGGTTTCTCTTTGTACCCTTAGCCTGTATGGACCAGGCTGGCCTCGAACTCAGAGATCTGCCCGACTCTCTCTGCCTCTTTTTGCTGGGACTAAAGGCGTGGGTCACCATACCCAGCTAAAATACACTTAATAATTTACAATTGACTTGTGTTCTTCTTTTTTATATATGTTGTTCATTTGATTTGTTTTTGTTTTGCTTTGTTTTTTGAGACAGGGTCTTACTATATAGCCTTGACTGGCCTGGAACTTGTTATGTAGACCAGGCTTGACCTCCATTTCATAGAGATTTGCCTACCTCTGCCTTCCCAGAACTGCGATTAAAGGCATGTGCCACCATGATTGGCAAAATTGACTCGGTTTCCTCTATGTATATTCTCTTCCATTTCAAAGTAATTAAATGTCCTGCTATGAGTTAAATATGGATTGGGGCCTGACAAGTGGCTTCTTTAATCCCAGCACTCAGGAGGCAGAGGCAGGCGGATCTCTGTGAGTTCGAGGCCAGCCTGGTCTACAAGAGCAAGTTCCAGGACAGGCTCCAAAGCCACAAAGAAACCCTGTCTCGAAAAAAGAAAAAGAGAAAAGAAAGAAAGAAAGAAAGAAAGAAAGAAAGAAAGAAAGGAAGGAAGGAAGGAAGAAAGAAAGGAAGGAAGAAAGAAAGGAAGAAGGAAAAAGGGAAAGAAAGAAAGGTAAAGAATTATAGGTGCTAGAGAGACAAGACTCTGCCTCAAAGGAATAAAGTAGCCAGGCAGTGGTGGTGGTGCACACCTTAAATCCCAGCACTAAGGAGGCAGAGGCAGGTGGCTCTCTGTGAGTTCAAGGCCAGCCTGGTCTATGACAGGCTCCAAAGCTACAGAGAAACCCTGTCTCAAAAAGAAAAAAAAAAGGCATAAAATAAGAGTAATAGAGAGGGGATCCCAAACACTCCTCTCTGGCCTCCACTGGCTCCCCTACACATATGTACACACACACACAAAACCAATATGGATTATGAGGAATATACCCATAAACTTGAAAAATGGATGATTTTGAAGTTAATACGAGAAAAGCCAAGTATAATGCATAGAGATTTATACACTTACTCTCTTGACCAGAAAGCATAAAGAACCACCTGCCTCTGCCTCCTAAGTGCTAGGATCAAAGGTCAAAGGTTCAGCTACTGTTTGATTTTTTTTTTATTTTTGGTTTTTCAAGACAGAGTTTCTATGCATAACAGTCCTGACACAAACCAGGCTGGCCTCCAACTTACAGAGATCCATCAGCCTCTGCCTCCTGAGTGCTGGACCACCACGGCCCAATTATACTGTTTGCATTTTAATAAGTAGCAAAAGTCAAAATAAAAATGGAGAACGTCCCTCAGGAAAGGAGTTCAGACACAGGTCATGAACAGCTTTCTACTCGCCAAAGAAAAACAGGCAGAGAAACTTACTTCACATTTTATATGCTGCAGCATTTCTGAGGAGTAAAGCCACTTAACCTCTCCAACCCTGGGTTTCTCTTCTACTTCTTCTTCTTCTTCTTCTCCTCCTCCTCCTCTTCCTCCTCCTCCTCCTCCTCCTCTTCCTCTTCCTCCTCCTCTTCCTCCTCCTCCTCCTCTTCCTCCTCCTCTTCCTCCTCCTCTTCCTCCTCCTCCTCCTCTTCTCTTCTTCTTCTTCTGCTCTTCTTTTTTTTTTTTGGTTTTTTTGAGAGAGGGTTTCTCTGTTAAACAGTCCTGAATGTCTTGAAACTCACTCTGTAGACCAGGCTGGCCTTGAACTCACAGAGATCCACTTGCTTCTGCCTCCTAAGTGCTAGGATTAAAGGCAAACGCCAGCACCCAGTTTGGGTTTCATTCCTTACAAAGGGGTGGGGTTGGCTGTGATGGCCTTTAATCTTTGGCACTGGGGTGAATTCAATCCCCGGGACCCACATAGTGGAAGGAGAGAATTACCTCCCACAAGTTGTCCTTAGACCTACACACACACACAAACACGCACACGTGCACATGCACGTGCAAAATAAATAAATCTAATCAGAAAACATTTTTAATTGAAAACAGGAACCCAGGCTGATACTTGTACATCAATATCAGCATTATTTGTATTAGACAAAAAGGTTCAAACAAACAAGCCAATGAGGTTCATTGAAATCACCATTATTGCTAATTGAAGAATAAATAGGTAAATAAAATTCGATTAGATGGAAAATTGTTGAGCCATAAAAAGGCATGAGATCTAGATGAACATTACAATATGGATGAGTCATAAAAATATTACAGTAGGCTGGGAAGTGGTGGCACTCGTCTTTAATCCCAGCACTTGGAAGGCAGAGGCACACACACACACAAAATAACAGTAAGGCACTGGCTGCTCCTGTAGAGGATCTGGGTTTAGTTCCCAACACCCACATGGTGACTCCGGGATCTGATACCTTCTTTTGACTTCCATAGATACCAGACATTCCCATGAGGCACATGAGCAAGTAAAACACTCGTACACGTAAATAAATCTCAGCAATAATCCTTCTTTCCTTCCTTCTCCCTCCCTCCTTCCCTCCCTCCCTCCTTCCTTCCTTCCTTCCTTCCTTCCTCCCTTCCTTCCTTTTGTAAACAGGGTCTCTCAGTAGTCTTTGCTGACCTCGAACTCAGAGATCCACCACCTGCCTTTGTCTCCCAAGTACTAGAATTAAAGGCGTGTGCCGCCACGCCCAGCTTAAAAAGAATTCTTACGGCAAGAGAAACACAGACATTACCGTATTTTCAGCTTTGTAAAACATCTAGAGTGAGAGCGGTTGCCAAGGGCTGGCCATGAAAAGGGGCTAGGGAGATCAGAGTTTAATGTCAGAGTTTAAAGTTTTAGTTTGGAAAGACCAAAAGGTTCTGGAGATGTATGTGAATATATTCAACGACACTGAATTTACCCTTAAGACAGTTAAAACTACATTTTATGATATATAGACTTAATACACATATTTTATTGTGTTAAGATCAAAAACAAGCCTCCTTACAAAATGTGGTAACTCGGAGCCAACGGAATAACTCACGCCCTAACGCCCGTTCCGCCAATCGCCGCTTGCACGCTCGGAACTGAGTAAATTAGCATGTTTGTTCCCATAGTGCTTTGCTGCATGTCCTCACGCAAACCTACTTAAATAAAGCAATAATCTCCCTTCTATGTATCACACAGGGAGCACCATAAGATTGTAACAGGCCTCGAATTTTCAGGATAACAATAATAGAAGATTTTCTCCCTCGATTTAAGAAACCCCCTTCCTGTAATAGGACCCTCGCTTCCAAGGGACGATGCGCGAGGGGTGGCATTCTTTAGCTTTGCGCAGTGGCAGTATCGTAGCCAATGAGGTTTATCCGAGGCGCGATTATTGCTAATTGAAAACTTTTCCCAATACCCCGCCGTGACGACTTGCAATATAGTCGGCATTGGCAATTTTTGACAGTCTCTACGGAGACTGGATATTTTGGTCTGAAAAAAGCATATTGGTTTTAGCTTTACTGGCCATACGTGTGGCTTCCCGCGTTCTCGATCTTTTGCTGTTTAAACTTTGGCTTATTTCCTTTCTGTTACTTTTGCTAATGCTAACTTGACGTTTTTCCTCCCTCCCTACAATCGCCCGCCGTTTATTTAAAAGGAATCTCAGGTTTTTTTTTTTTTTAAAGATATATTATGTATACAACTTTCTGCCTCCATGTATACCCAAACGCCAGAGGAGGGCGCCAGATCTCATTACAGATGGTTTGGAGCCACCATGTGGTTGCTGGGAGTTGAACTCAGGACCTCTGGAAGAGCAGACGGTGCTCTTAACCACTGAGCCATCTCTCCAGGCCAGGAATCTGTTTTGTTGACAAAAAGCATCCCTGATGGCGGAGGACTCGCAGCAGTCCTCTCGCCGCCCGAGTGCTAGGGTGACCGACGTGAGTCACGTCCCCTCGAGGTCTATTTCTCCTTACCCGCGTTCTCCCGCCGCCGTCGAGTCTCCACCCCGGCCGTCGCGATGACGTTAGTCTCATTTGCATACGAGTCCCCCAGCATCCCAAGCGACGGTTGCGCTGTTTGCAAATCACGAGCGTCCGGACGCGAGATGACCCAACGGCAAGAATCTGTCCACGCAGATGACTGCGATGGAGCTGCTGGGCTTGGGCCTGTCGCGTGGCGGTCGCGCGTGGGTAGGAGCTCACCGTGACTGTGACGCGGATCTTCAGCCCTGGCAGGCTGAGCAAGCACGCTCTTTCGTCAGCTTTGCGCAGTGGCAGTATCGTAGCCAATGAGGTTTATCCGAGGCGCGATTATTGCTAATTGAAAACTTTTCCCAATACCCCGCCATGACGACTTGAAATACAGTCGGCATTGGCAATTTTTGACAGTCTCTACGGAGACTGAACATTTTATGTTTGAAAGTAAGGAGTTGAAATCCGATTGGCGTTTTCTGTGGGCTATCACGTTTCTCATTATTCAATCCCTGAGGGGAAGCACGTTTTTCTGAGGACCAGGGTTCGGTACCCATCCCCACAATTGAGTGTGTATTTGTGTGTGAGAGAGAGGTCAGCATGTCTGTGTGTGTGTGTGTGTGTGTGTGTAAGAGAGAGATAGGTCAGCATGTCTGTGTGTGTGTGTGTGTGTGTGTGTGTATGAGAGAGAGAGAGAGAGAGAGAGAGAGAGAGAGAGAGAGAGAGAGAGAGAGAGAGAGAGAGAATCCCAGCACGTGAGGAGATGCAGGGGGATCAGGAATTTGGATCAAGTTCGAGACTAGAAGACTAGCCTGGGCTACATGAGATCTGTAACAAACAAAAGACAAGCCAGTATTAAGAACTTGTGCTACAGCCGGGCAGTGGTGGCGCACGCCTTTAATCCCAGCACTCGGGAGGCAGAGGCAGGCGGATCTCTGTGAGTTCGAGGCCAGCCTGGTCTACAAGAGCTAGTTCCAGGACAGGCTCCAAAGCTACAGAGAAACCCTGTCTCGAAAAATAAAAAAAAAAAAAAAAAAAAAAGAACTTGTGCTACACAAGTATATCAGTCCTGGTCTGGTATGATGGCATGATGGCACATGCCTATAATCCTAGCTACTCAGGAGCCTGAAGGCAGGAAGATCACAAATTCAAAGTCAGCCTGGGTAATTTAGCAAGCGTGCTAAGAGGACTTTGTGTCAGAGATAGCCTGAGTTCCGTCCTCAGCTCCCATAAAGGTGGCAGGAGGTAATAACTTCCAAAGTTGTCCTCTAAGCCCCACTTAAGCATTTAACACAACAGCACCTGCCCACATGCACACACACAAAGAAATAATTTGAGCCGGACGGTGGTGACCCATGCCTTTAATCCCAGGTGAATCTCTGTGAGTTCGCCAGCCTGGTCTACAGGGCGAGTTCCAGGACAGGCTCCAAAGCTACAGAGAAACCCTGTCTCAAAAACCCAAAAAGAAAAAAATAATAATTTTATGCTTAATTTTTTTAAATCTGAAATAAAGAACTTAATGAATAAATAAAACAAGCACTGGTTCTGGTTACTTATACCACAAATGGCTTCCATAGACACCAGAGTGGCAGCCTCATTTGAATATTTGCCATCAGTTTAAAAAAAAAAATTCACAAGCCTCACTATCCTTGGCTATCCTGGAACTCACAGAGATCGCCTGCCTCTGCCTCCCCAGTGCTGGAATTAAAAGGCCTATGCCACCACTGCCAGGTTTAAAAAAAAAAAAAAAAAAAAAAAAGCCGGGGCAGTGGAGGCACATACCCAGAACCCACAGTATTTTATTAGGAGTACATAATTTAAGAGGGCGGCAAAAAACAAACAAGCAAAAAAAAAAAACCCTCAGTGATCAAATAAATAATGTTTTTAGTGAGATGAGTCAAGGAGGGCGAGGGTAGATATGAAGGACAGGGTGAGATCCCTCTTCGACACGGTCTCACTACGCACCACCGTCCTCAGCGCACACCGTTTTCAGTTGTCCCAAAGGACACGGTTTAGGCAGCAGTAGGAAATGAGCGGTTAGACTTGGCCACACGGTCCAGCTCATGCTTCTTGATGGCGTGGGAGTTGCAGGAGCCCTCGGCGTCACAGATGAGCTCATCAGCAAAACACTCATTCCTGAGAGACGTGGGGTGGGAGCACCTTGCCGAGGGATGGCCTGAATCACTGGGCGGGAACACACCCACAGCCTGCAGCTTCAGGTCCCTGCTCATCCAAAGCCTGCTGAGTCTTCCCCAGGGACAACGGTTGATGACGGCATTCAGCAGGACCTGCAGAGGGTTTTTACCAGTGAGCAAGGGATCTCAAAGGCATGCTTGACTATGTGCGCGGTCATGAGCTTTGTCACGGAGCTAGGAAGGAGCTCGGGATGGGACGCTGCGCTCTGCGTTCCTCCCTGCTGTGCTCGGCAGGGGCGTTCCCACTGCGACAACCGTGAAGGGAAATACAGTTGATCCGCGCGTCAGCAGAGCTCCGTTTCCCCGACAGCGCAATGTCTGAGGTCTCTGACACTGCGGGTGTAGCGGTCTCCCACCCAGTCATTCTGAGAACACCACCACCTGGCTTAACTTACTATTAATTAGACCTCAGTCTCTAGAAAGTTCGGGCTATACTAATGAAGATCGAGAATTCCAAACTACTTATGTTCAGAACACTTCAAACAATGTGATTTCATTTTGTATTATATTGTTTTCATACAGGGCATTCATTAGTTTTGGGGAGGTGCCTTTTTTTGTCTTGTTGCTGTTTTATGGGTTTTTTTGTTTTTTGTTTTGGGGTTTGTTGTTTTTTTTGTTGTTGTTGTTGTGTTTTTTTTTTTTT